CAGCTACAGCCATGTATAACTACGCAATTGTAGACCAGGTTTTAAATAGCAGCTGCGGATCGTTACTCTTTCAGAAAACGAAGTTTATGGTTGCGTTATGTGTGCACTTGTATGCATTTAGATCTCTATGCTATCTACAACGTGAGACTTGCGGCCAGAGGGTAGTTCAAGTTCCGGCGCAACACTGTCGCACTACCGCCCTTTGCAACCAGATTTGCAGTGGAGAGCGTCAGTTTGTTTGCGGTTCCGATAACAAGCTTTATCGAAATGAATGCGAGATGAAAAGAGATAATTGCGGGTAAGCCACGAAATGTTATGTATTTGCACGTTTTATTAAAATATAACGCTTTTGTTCGAAAAGTACACGATTAGTGAATGCTTTTAATAAATTAATCTTGGGCTAATTCTCAAAGGAATTTCAAGAAGCGCATAATTGCATGGTAGAATTGACTCTTATAAACCTTCCTTCTCTCTTTGTAGCTTTTATTAAATAGTATATATAATAGCAATAAATTAAATCATCGCTAATTGTGATGATGAAAATTATAGCAATATAAATAAAAATAATATCTTGATAAAGGCATTCAAAGCTATTATTTTATCCCACAAAATATTAAAATATATTAAAATGCCTCTTATTAATTGTGGATGAGTTGTGAAATGAAATAAACGCTTTAAATTAAAATTTTTTAAAGAAAATTTATTTGATTAGGTTTTCTACAATCAAGAAAAGTAATTGAATTACTTTAGGATAATTTAATCATGTTCCTTTAAGTTCCGTCAAGATATAACTCGTTACAGTTTAGTAGAAAAAAAACTACCATAGAATAATTTTATTACCTTACTGGAAGTAAAAAGGCTGATTATTCAAATTCAATTATTCAGAAGTGTACGCACTCTAGAGAGCGGCGAGTTTCGTGCCGCGCATATAATTTTCGTTGACCGCGATCGTGTTTCTTCCCGATATAATACTTTCCATAGACTTTCATTACGCCTGATCGCGCTATTGAAACACATCCGAGGAAGAGAAGATCATCCAAGAAACTGGTCCTTGAGAAACGGTTAATCCGAACCGGCATCGCGTGCATGTCCGATGAAAGTCCGTGAATGATTCAGCGTTGTGGAGAGCCATTCCATTACATTTTCTTTATAAAAATAATAAACTACTTCTATCACGCATGCGCGCGCCGCATACTAACAAGATGTTTTTGAACCTGCTGTTCAAATATGTGAAAGGAAAGTATCCTACTTCGGGAAGTTGAATCGAATACAATCGCGCGAAATTTCGAAAGTAGAAATTGTTGGTACCTCCGTGCGACCCATTTTCCCAAAGGAGTCATTTTTTATTTTCGACAGCTTTCTAATGCGCCACTATTAATACATACTCGATGTATACGGTATATATTTATGCTAAATAAATTCCAATCTAATTCTAATGTTTCAAAAATGATAGATGCAAAAAAACTATTATGCTACATAAGATCAAAATCTTTGTTTCAAACTCCCTGAATGATGTAATTATTTCCTAATGCCCCAAGTAAAATAGTACAATTCAATTCTTTACATTAATAATATAATAGTATTTTAAACGAACAAAAAAACCTTAATTCCAGGAAACACGTATATGTGGTACCTATGAAGAGGTGTGTCCAAGGTTTTCTGTTTCGTGGCTGTCAGAAGATCTGTCCACCTTATTACGACCCGGTTTGCGGCACCGATGGTATGACGTACAGCAATGAGTGCTTCCTGGAGATTGAAAACTGCCGCAGCAGGAGTCTTGTTACGAAAAAATATCATGGAGTGTGCGGGCAGCCGACGGAAGAGCCAAAAAATTATCTCTATTAAACTCGACTGAGCTGGTACTAGAAAGAGAGAGAGAAAGAGAAAGAGAAGAGAGAAATTGATCGACAAGATAATTTGACTTGTATCTCTCAGATTTAAAAAGTGACCATTACCGTACACATTGATTTGTCACGAGTCTTGTAGTATTTAAGTTTGCTCAGCTCATATTAACCAACTGCAAATTCGATGAACTCCATTCGAGTACGAGCATAACGTTCATGACTTCTGACGGACAGGCGCGACGTGATAAAATATCATTCACGTGAATTTCGGATATTTGATTGCCCCCTTGACGATCCGAAATGCGCTGAATTTTTATGGGGAAAAACGCGCTCGAGAGAAATGAGCATCTTGCCAGTCGCAGTCCGGATTGTTATCGTTACTGCTATTTCTACGATAATATATAGTACCGCGATTGCCGATCCCTTTTCAGACAGCCGCGCGTTTGTAAATTCTAATTAATGTAGCGGAATTATAATTCGCAAACCGTTATTATACACTGACGAACAATATCATCTATAGGTTATTTTAAGGAATTATCTTTTTTTTTCTTTTTTTTTTTGTAATCGGGAAAGGGTCGCCAGTCGCGTATCGATGTAGTCGTACGTTCTTCGTTTGACGGTATAGACTCATTATTATTTATTATAGCATTAATTATTGCAAACGATGCGATTCCATTTTTTTACAGATATGCCCGTCGTTCTAATTATGGCTATTAATACGTCAACGCGACATTGTCAGAGCGTATTCTTATTTTAGAGTTTAATATTATGCTATTACATCTCCTTCCCGACATGTGATGTGTGTTCGTTTATTATTATTATAATTATTATCATTATAATCTTAATTTATTATCGAGTATGTGCAAGAATCCTTTTGTATCGACACTAACACTGTATACGCTTCCAATGTTAATAATAAATTATATAAATATATGTATATTTTAAAATATAAAAACTGCATAAGTTACACGCGTAATTAATTATATTATGAGACATTTTATTTATGGAGACATTTTATTTATTTATATCAAGTTCATGACAAAATCCTGATTTAATTTAGTTCGAGTTCAATTTTTGACACAAATAGCACGCGAAAAGGAACTTTATGTTAAACATCTCGTTTTACAATAAGATTTTAGTAACATTGATAAAATCTACATTTTATGCCTTACTGTTTATTTTGTGACGGTTCGCTGGTGTCACCTTGTATTAAAAGACTCGCTCACCAAGGCGGCTGTAATGCTGTCGATTCTTTTTATTTCAACAATTTGCTTTATTCGTGAGTCGGAATTCAATTGCTTTCGAAGCGGGCAGTAAGCAATGCTCGTAATCCGAACTATAATATGTTCGATTCGATGCGTGCTTGGTACTCCGATGAAGAAATTTTCGTCGCTATTATAAGACTTAGTATTGCTATAACGCGACCGGCGAATCTCGCCGCAAATTCCCGCAATTCTTTCTCGCACTGATGGTCCTCACGATACGCGTATCTCGGAATGTTACGGATTGAGATACACTGGAGGTACGCGACACATCGTTTTGTTCGCACTGAATATTCGGTAATGATCATCGATCGAGATTAGGCAGCGAACTGACGATTCGCACACGAAGCGTGTGCGCGATCGACAGTTTTTGGGATTTGCGCAAGGGGGGTTGCGTGTCATTGAGACAGACAGCGTAATTAGAACAGGAGCGATATACTTGTTTTGACGACTCGATATCTGACGTATTTTAACGACGAGCTATTGGCTTGCTCCAAGAATATGAAAAGTAACGTTAATTCCAGGACATACCGCCCGCCTTGAATGTAAGCATTCGAAATAATTCGCATCAAAGCACGCAAAATACAAGAATGGTGTAACGATGAAAGTAGTTTAACGCAAAATACAAAGATCATGACGCAATACAGTTAAAAATTAAAGTTTTGCGATATCGGTAACATCAGGTACGTTTACCGGAAATCCGCCCGCCATAACGGAATCTTTAGACTTTGGAATTGATCGTGACGGGTAGAAAACAAAGTTTTGCAATCAGTTGCTTATACTCAGAACGTATACCTGTTTTTACAGTGACGACGCGAGTTAAATTGTCATCGCCGGGATGATACGCCGTAATTCGGCCAAGTTTCCATTGACTCGGTGAAGCTAGAGGGTTACGCACGAGAACGATTTGGCCTATTTTAGCCAGTCGCTGGACAACGCGCCACTTTGTTGAAGAGTATGCAAGTAATCACCGGACCAAGACTTCCAAAAACCTTCGGTTATGTGTTGAACCATTTGCCAACGCAAAAGTCGATTTTCGTTTAGGTTAAGTACGCTTAATTCGGCGGGAGCGATAAGCGAAGTTCCGACTAAAAATGACCGATTAGCGCGTAATAATCGTCGAGATTGTCAGAAACGGAAGCGATCGGACGCGAATAAGGCACGCCTTAATTCGACAGAGCAGCGTAGACATTTCCTCAAAAGTTAGCGTGTGGAAGCCGATGCATCATTTTAAATGATGCTTGACACTTTTCACACCGGCTTCCCATAGGCCGCCGAAGTGCGGCGAAGCAGGGGGTAGGAAGTGCAGTTCCGTCGACTGTGAGTCGGTTGCGGAAGTTAGGATCTCGGATGGCGTTTGCATGTGCGTTTGACAGTTCGCGATCAGCGCCGTGAAACGTGGTTCTGTTATCGGAGTACATGGACGTCGGTAATCCTCGGCGCGCAACGAATCGTTGATATGCTGCTATAAAAATCAGAGAGGTGACAAGTTGACGAGCTCTAAGTGCAGAGCTTTGGTCGTGAGGCATACGAATAAAGCGATATAGGCCTTTTGTAATTTATATCCTCGATCAGGAGTCGTGCGGGCAGCGATCAGACCTGCGTAATCGACACCGGTATGAACAAAGGCGCGAGCGGTTGACTCTCGCAGCCGGGAGATCACCCATGAGTTCGACGGGCACGTCGGCGCGTTCACGCGTGCATGGTATGCATTTATAAAGAACGGATTGAACGGTGGCGCGGGCTCGGAGAATCCAGAATTCTTGTCGCAATGACGCGAGCATTAATTGAGAATCGGCATGCAACGTTCTAAAGTGATGGTGCTAGATAATGAGTACAGCGGGTGCGCGTGTAAGACGATGGGATTCTTCGTAGCTTCTGGGAGACAAGCTCGACGAAGTCTTTCTCGAATCCGAATAAGTCCATCTTCGTCTATATAAAGATTGAGAACGGAGAACGGAGAGCTCTTCGGTACCAGGCACTTTTATTTTAGAGCCGCGATCTCATTAAGAAACATGTCTGACTGCATGGTTTTGAGCCAATAACGTTTGGCGTTTTGAATTTCTTCAGGGAGTAAAGTTGCGATATTGTTTGCAAGTTTTTAGAACGTCGGAGTCGACTTAGAAAACGGTAAAGGTACGCGGTAATTCGCAATTTTGGCCACGAAGAGTAGCACGACGCAGGATCCCATTGGGGAGTAGCGTGCAAGGCGCACACCGAAGGCTCCGGGCGGTTGTTCAAGAAGGATATCGGAGGGTACCAAAGGACATGAGTTCGGCCAGGATTCGGGAGGATGATATAGCCATGGAGGGTCTGACCACCATAAAGCGTGTGTCTTGAAAAGATCGGGAGCGAGATCGCGTGAAGCGCAGTTCACGGGATTGGTGTGCGTCGGAACATGACGCCAAGAAACTCCAGGGAGGAGTGATTGGACAGCCGAAACACGATTGGAGACAGAGGTTTTCTATCGGGAAGGTGATTGACTCAGCCAGGCGAGTATAATGGTGTAGTCCGTCCAGTGGCACTCGAGGTTAGAGAGTTGGAACCCTGAGCGCGCGAAATGCATCAAGCGTGCGAGAAGCAACTCAGCGGATAACTCCAATCACGGGACGCTGATCGTTTTAAGAAGGGCCACTTTTGATTTGGCGGCGAGAAATGAGACGGTGGTTGAACCGTCTATATTGACGGTACGAAGGTATACTGCCGCAGCGAAAGCCGCAGTCGAGGCGTCGGAAAACCCATAAAGGGCGCAGTGTAGAGTATGAGATCCGTAAGTAGTCCAGCGCGGAATGCTAATCGCGTTGAGATATGAAAGTCATTGATGGTAATTAAACCAGCAATCAAGAAATTGGCTGGGAATGTCGTCATCCCATCGACATTAGAGTGACCACAATCGTTGCATAAAAATTTTAGCGGTAATACTGACAGGAGAAGCCCATCATAGAGGATCAAAAAACTTGGCGATGGTTGACAGAATGACTCGTTTGATTCTTGCGGGTGGTGACGATATGATCATGCGGAATTGAAAAATATCTAGCGTAGGATTTCACAGTATTTCTAAGACCTTAAGGTGCTCATCGTCTTGAAGAACTTTATGAGTGGCTAAACCATGACCCGCGGGATCAAGATCGGACAACGGAGCGGTGGCGTTGCTTACCCATTTTCGAAGGTGAAAGCCTCCTTTCTTTAATAACTCTCTCAATTAATCACGTGTTTGTCGAACAAGAATTTGATCTGCACCGAAAGCGTAATTATCGACATATGTCTGATGACGTAAAACGGGAACTGCGAGCGGAAATGCGGCACCTTCATCGTCGACGAGTTGATCTAGGACCCGAAGAGCTAAGTAGGGAGCGACGGCTGTGCCATAAGTAACAGTAAGAAGACGATAATCCGTGATTGGTTCATCAGAGTTAGGTTGCCATACAATGAGCTGATAGTCGGTGTCCCTGGAATCAACTAATATTTGTCGACACATTTTAGCGATATCGGCGATGAATACGTAACGATATTGGTGCCACTACAATATGACAGTGGCTAAATCTTTCTGGAGTTTAGGTCAACGAACATATGGTCGTTCAACAACATTCCATTTGAGATGCGGCATGAAGCATTAAAGACCACTTAAGCGGGTGGTTGCACTGCTATCACGTAAAACAGCATGATGGAATATAATAATTTTGCTCTGGTTTAACACGTTCCGTCGGTGGACTTTTAATCATATGACCGAGGGTTTCATAATCTGCGAGAAATTCGCGATATTCGGAAGCATTAATTGGGTCGCGAGTTAAGCGTTGTTCCAAGCGGCGCAAGCTCGAAACGGCGATAGAGCGTGATTCGCCTAGAACCAGATAAGTGGTCCGTTTTTAAACAGTAGTCGAACGATATAACATCCTTCCGGCATACGGGAATGTGTGGCTTTAAAGTGCTCTTCGCACTGGTGCTCCTCAGGACTCCGAAGAGCTTCCTGAGGTACTTCTTCGATTTCTCAGAAGCGACGAAGATAAAATAAGTGTATATATAGGCAGGACACACGTCTATGCAGGCTTTCTATATTTCTTTATAGTGTCTCACATTTTTTCTGGCACCGCCATTACAATAAAAGCGAGAGTTCTTTTTCCGCTTTTCTTACGCTCATCACGCCATCTCACAACAGCATTGCTCGGGAAGAAAAGAAAACTCTAGTAGCGCTTTCTACATCTAGTGATAGCGACTAACACTACATATGTGATGCTAAACGTTGTGCATACGGGCAACACACACACACAAATGTTGAAAAGAAATTGGATACTACCGAAAAATACAAATCTCTGCAAAGTTAAGTATCATATTTCTACAGATTCATTATTAAAAAATTAATAAAAAATAAAGTATGTAGTGTTTTATTAGAAATGATTATTATAAATTATTTTTTGTTACTTAATATACAGTGATCATATGTTTTTTATTCTAAAAGACAGTATTGTATTTCAGATAGCTGTTCTTTAGAATTACTTGTTTTGAAACTCAATTTTGATCATTACATGTATATTACGCAAGAAATGGTAATAACTTTAAAATGTTTAATCTTGTTTTGTTCGATTTTAATAATATTATAAATACATATATACGAGGGTCGTTTGAAAAGTCCGTGC